AAACAGAAATGGGATTCTATGAAATTAATTACTCGAAATACCATTTCTATATTCATCATAACTGTTTTTCAGTAATTTAGACAACACCAGCTATAAATGAACAGTTAGATACAATGTAAATACGTTTCTATTTAGTCAAATAAAAGTAGTATCCATCTATACTGAACAACTATTCTGTTAAACAATCAACATTAGTGTGATATAATACTGCATTGATTTATAAATAAAATTTTTTAGAAAATTCATATTAAACAATAATGTTTTTGCTGACTAACCTAGATTACTATCAACAATTACCTTTGTGTAAAAATGAAAGAGGTACCTTGGCAACTAGCAGTTTTTTTCTAAAAAAAAATATAGTTGAGATGGTTTATGTACGAAATAAATAATTGTTAACATGTTTTATTGATATAAATTAGTCAAATTAAAAATATGATTCATTCATTCAATGTATAACCATAAAGAATTAACTAAATACTGTTAATTAGATCATAGAAATGACCTAATGTTTTAAAAAAATGACAATTTGATAAATACTTTTTTTTTGTATGCAATGATGGATAGTGGTCAGCAGTGGAATCCAGGACGTCAGTTTCGTCCTATTTGAGACTCGTCAGCTGGATGTACCTGCATCTCAGAGTTGATGTTCACTCTTGGACTCGAACCCAATAATATTCGCTTCAAACGCTATCTCTCTATCCACTCAGCTACTGAATCTTAATAGCCACTTGCTTGTGTAATGGGGTGAATTTGAATTCACTTGGTATTGTTTGGCTTGTATCTTCCCATTGAGGTTCAAGACTATTTTTTTCTTGATTTTCGAATCTTGCGTTTATTATCAAACAGATTAGGGTTCATAAGATCTAAAAGTATGTGAATTAGAATATGTAAAATTGTTTTATGATCTCTCATAGAAATTAATCTACTCGAATCTTGTAACTTTGCTTATTTTGTACTAATAACAATAATAGAAAAGAACAGTAGTGTTATGTAAATTGAGCTGATGTTAGACTGAATCCATCAGACAAAGTAATTCGAAATCAGTCAGATGACAGAGCTTAACAGAAGAATAATTTCTTGTAACAGAACAAAGAGAAAAACCAGGCTGTCTGAACAGTTTGTTTTCTACAAACTTTCATCTGTTCCTCTGCCTTAAAACACACGTAAAGCAAAACCATAATTTTTCAGTAATCCTAATGTCTGTCTTTTTAAGTAAATGAACACTATATCGTGAATTGATTGACATACGAAACATATACTGTTAAATCTCAATTTATGAGAACTAAAGATCCTGAGTTCAGTCCGTGAAATGGTATCCTAAATAGTGTAAATCCCTCATGAATACAATTCACAGAGTTCTAGAGATCTTTCACACTTATTACACATTACTTATCTTACTTTAAAGTCGTCTACGACCTTGATCAAAATTTGTCTGTAAACTTGTTGTGAAGTATACAGATCCACCTGTTTTAATAGCTAACGCTATAGTATTTAGGTTGGAAACAATTGAAGAGAATCTATAAAAACTTTGTATTATTCTATTAGAAGAGTTGTTCTTGTTGGATTCTATAGAAGAGAATAAATGTGCAACGTACCTCAATTGAATGATTACCATATTACACTGAAAACGTAATCGAAGTAAGTAGTAGATCTAAAAATCGGTGTTAATTATTTAAACAAGATCGATTTCACATAACTTAGTCACTTATTCAAAGAAAACAAAACCATGTCAATCAAATCTGTGCCTAATCGGAAACAGATCAGTCTCACTGACTGATCATTGACCTATAAGTGATCTCATGTTGATCTATTCTTATAGTGCTGATAGAATCCAATCGATCAAGTTGGAATATTTGTAACTAGTCTAAGTGACTCAACAGTGAGCGCACTGTTATAATTTTAGATGGTTGGAAGCAATTGGTAATCAGTCCAGTTCCGGGTTTTTCTCCGTTAGCTTTCATCACCAAAACCCATCTACAAACTTGAGGGGACTGGTATTCCATAAGGTACCCGAAGTCATATCACTCAACTTGATCGACAGAATCAGATTACCCCTAAAGATTAGACAAAAATGTTAATATTTACTACTCATTAATCTTACACGATTCTAGTCATGACTCAACTAGCTGTGTTATTACTTCTAACTATAACATACATTAATACGTCTAAATCTCTTTGAAAACAACACTTCCAATCGTATTAATACTTCTTTTTGATTTGTGAAAATTACTGATGAAAATCTATAATCATAGCTTTGTGGAGATTATCTTCAACCAGTTAACATCAAATAAACCATTTCGTTGTTACTTTCAAACAAATTAGCCATATAGTATTTCCTACAGGTAAATTTCATAACTGAATTACATTTAACTAAGAAATTTCAGTTACACTATAACTATTCAAAGCATTAAAAGTGTAATCAATTCAATAGTAATAATCACATGAAACAATCTATCATATTGGTGTACAATGTAAATAATTGACTATTGAACATGTGGTACTTTCCTGAATCTGTAATTTGTGTGAAATTAGTTAGTTAAATTATTTCATTTAAAAAAATAAATTAGTCTATTCACTTTTGATATACATTACAAGCAAAGTAACTATTCATTTCGATTATGTAATAAGAAGATGAAGATTATCAGAACTATGTTTACCAATCTAAATGTGTGTGTGGTCACACATATATAGGGAGGAGCAATCGTGATCTCAACACTAGGGTAAGTGAACATGTACCTAAATAACTGCAGAAACAAATACAATCAAGTGACCCAATAAGAGCAGAGGATAAACATCCATCATCCTCTATTGCTAAACATATAATTGAAACAGGTCATAAGATTGATCTAAGCTCGGCTTTTGTAGTGTTGTATAAAAGTGTAAAAGGGTGTATACTAAGGTTTATTGAAGCCTTAGCCATACGAAAATTCAAATCCCCTTTGTGTGTTCAGTAACAGTTTGTTCTTACCTTAAACCTACCCTGGTAATATTGACTTATTATTCAGAGTGATTAGGTTTTGAATTGTGTTCACATTATTATTCTTACTCTTATCATTATCCTTATCTCCTCTTACCCCGTTCCCAGTCTAGTTGACCTTTTATTTATATATATAAATGCTCTTAAGCATATGTGTGATCAGATTGTTCGAAATGTATTGCGCTAATGTATCATATTACTTACTTACTTACTTACGCCTGTTACTCCCAATGGAACATAGGCCGTTGACCAGCATTCTCCAACCCACTCTGTCCTGAGCCTTCTTTATAATTCCATCCAATTCTTGTTCATTTTTCTTATGTCTATCTCCATTTCTCGGCGTAATGTGTTCTTTGGTCTTCCTCTTCTCCTTTGGTCTTCAGGATTCCATGTGAGGGCTTGTCTTGTGACGCAGTTGGATGCTTTCCGCAATATGTGTCCTGTCTACTTCTAGCGCCTCTTCCTATTTTTCTTCCTCCACTGGGATCTGGTTTGTTCTTCCCCACAGTACGTTGTTGCTAATAGTGTCCGGCCAACGGATCCGAAGTATTTTGTGTAGACAACTGCTGATAAGCACCTGTATTTTCTGGATGATGGCTTTCGTAGTTCTCCAGGTTTCTGCCCCATACAGTAGAACTGTCTTGACATTTGTATTGAAAATCCTGACCTTGGTATTGGTTGACAGTTGCTTTGAGTTCCAGATGTTCCTCAGTTGTAAATATGCTGCTCTTGCTTTGCCGATCCGCGCCTTCACATCTGCATCAGATCCACCCTGTTCATCAATGATGCTGCCCAAAAACGCTAACCAGAAAAATTATTCAAATGTATCATATAGTTCTGATAATCTTCGTCTTCTTATTACATTATCGAAATTTATCAAAGGGAGTAATTGTTTTAAATAACTATTCATTGTTGGATTTCAATATAGTAGTCTAGACTAATGCAGCTTATTGTAAGAATTGAAAACTCTAGATTCTAGCTTGTATAGGGTTGTAAGTATCCACAAAAAACAATCTTAAACTAGGATACAAAATGTTTCATTTCTATTTATTTTCGTAATTGTTTTTCAACGGTTATATTAATCTGTGACGAAAATCAGTGCGTTATTCCTTTATTGTAATGAATTAATTTCCTAACATTCAATACGTTAAGTTGTTTATTCTAGGTTGACATTCGTGGAAGAATCGTTTAAAATAACGAATCACTGAACATTGACAATATTCAATCTCTGGATTTTTACAGTGACTCGTCACTAGATAGTAACCAATATCCTCTTTTATCTAGTCTTCAGTAATGCTCGAACACTATTGGTCAAGTTGCAGTGTGGCCACTAGTTTGAGTGATATATTGCATGCGCGATTTTTTGATTTTAGGTGTTTGGAAGTGATCTATATAAAACCCATGCACTTAGGTTTCGTACTAGTTGGTATTCATCAGGACGGCCCACTGTTGTCATGGGAGAAAGATGCTCTATATGGGATTTTCGATTCAGCCACCCAGTTCTACAATCTGAAGCGCTACTACTCGGCTATTCGGGTGGCGAATGATCTTTTGTAGGACTAAGATATTTGTAGTAGTTGGTTTCTGAGTAGTAACTAACAATGTATTGATCCAGTCCTTTAATGATTATGGAACTCTATCGATCCTTGACTTTATAAAACTGAAATCTGTATTTACTAATATACTCTGTCTTTCCCGATTGATAAATCGCAAATATCTTATAAACACATTCAGCGTTTCATTTTAAGGCGAATTAGAAACTTTTTTTATCATAATTAAACAATATCAGTTTGTTCCATTTTTTCAGTTTGATATTTAGCACTTTTGCTTAACATAGTACACAAAATCGCAACAAGAAATTAACTAAACCAATAAAATATAAAGTACTTTTATGCTTATAACAGAGGGGAGTGTATTCCAACTTGAATACTTATACAACTACGCATACAAACAAATAAACTACCCACTTTCTGAGTAACGTATTACAAAAAAAGTTACCTATTTAATAAATCTGACAATAAAAATATACTTTAATTAAAATTTTATTTCGGTAGACTCTTGATTAAACAAAAAGTGTTGATATGAATATGTTGCCTGTGGATTTCATAGATTATTTTAATAAATTTCAACTAGAAGCTTCAAATGCTTCACCGGAAGATTTTTCTGATAAACTTAATCTATTCACATCATTACTATTTTTGATTTGTACAATTGTCATTACATTAAAACAATATGTATTTAATAGTATGTCATGTTATATACCCGTACATCCAACTGGGAAAGATTTTGAAAATTTCCTATCTGATTATTGTTGGGTACATGGGACAATACCATTAAGACAAAATGAACCAATGCCAAAAACACCGGAAGAATGGAGTATTTATGAAAAACAACGTCGAATATGTAAGTTTTAGCTATATACATATATATCCCGTAGACTAATCCTTGAAACTTTTCTTCTTGTTTTTTTCGAGAATGATTACGCTAAAAGTTACATATTTAAATATTCATCATTTCTTTACATAATAAACACATATAACTTTCTTATATTTGGGACAAAACTTCAGTCGCTCAGTTTTTTTAATATTTCAAACCCATCTTGTTTGAAAAAAACATCATTGATTATTTTTCATTGCCTCCTTAACGTCCATATAACTCATGTTATTTATTAGACTGTTTAGTTGTCGTTGGGTTTCCATATTCTTTCCCCCCTCCTTGTCTCATAACGAAGCTGATGATCAGAATTTTTTTCAATAAACCTTAAACAGTGGCTCAAATTTTCAAAATTATGATAAGATTCTTGTGTCAGCGTTATTTAATAGTTGAGTCAATTGAAGCTAGATCATCATGGAAAACCCGAAAACACTGAACGGCCATTTTATCCTAGAACGAAAACTATTCAGCAGTGCGCATCCACGATCCCGCTCGTGGGATTCGAACCCAGGACCTATCGGTCAACCATTACTTGGTCATAACTTTCCTATCAAGGCTTATTAACTGATCATCGAATTTTCCACTTCATTATCAATATACAGATTTTATATTAAGTAAACATTTTATATGATAAAACGTACGTTCTGAATTGTATAGCTATCTAAAATCTATCTATTCTAAATAACTGATTACAGAATAGCCATTATTGAGACAATCGACGTAGGATGAACATATACTGAACAAAATTCAGTCCCTAACATAAACAATGGAATGCTAATATTATAAACATTTTATATAGTTGATTTTAAACTTTCTAAATCTTACTAAGTTATCTAAAATAATCTCCGTTGAAGTCTATGAGGTTAGTAGTTAATAAGTACATTGATTGTCATAGCATGAAATTCATAGTTAATCTTTAACCAGCATGTTTGAACTAAATCATGAATAACGAAAACTATTCAAATTAGTCGTAAACTTTTCTCACATTTCATAAATATGAATGATCCTTTATTCATCATTCAAAACGTTTGAAAACTTTTTCAACTCATAATTTGTTTTCAACCTAGAATATTATTACTTGAAAGTAACAGACAATTGTTTCATCATTATTTAAAAGTTTTCAATAATATCAGAAGGATTTTTCGTGGATATTATAGTAATTTTAATGGTTGAGATCGTGAATCAATTAAAGCTAGACCACCATGGAAAACCTGGAAGCACTGGACGGCCGTTTCGTCCTATTGTGGGACTCCTCAGCAGTGCATATCCACGATCCCACCTCAGTAATAGATATTCAAGACACTAAACTTATAACTTTCAGTTATTATAATAAAGAACATTACATCTAATGCTGAATATTCCCAGCTTTGGTTCGAATCTATTTATCGATTACTGTTCAAAATTCAGACTACCATTGTAGGAGTATAATTTTTAATATTGTAATTGTTCGATAGACTATTTTTATCTTACTTCTTTGTCTGTATTACATGGTTCATGTAGATTGATTTTGACTCGATGGATGTTTCATTATCATAATTATTCTCTGAAACATTTCTCAACTATTCTACTAATTAAATCAACGTAACGTTATTTTTTAGCTCATTTAAATTAATGTTATTTTCCTTGACTTGATAAAAAATCTTCATGGATATCCTATCCAAACAATATTATCTACATTTATGTATCATATTAATTCAAAATGACTAAACACATGGTGTTTAGAATAACTGAATTGGAGATATTATATTTTTCAGTGGAATCTAGGAAGAGCATTTCCTAATGTTTACGGCTACTCAACTGTACACACCTCCCTCTTATTGTTGATCCTCATATTGGGACTCAAACCTAGTACATTTTACTTCAAACGTAAAGACGTTATTTACTGAGCTAATGGGTCCAGACAGCTAGTAAACATCTACTACATGGGTATGATGCCTAAATACTTATTAGTTAGGGTTCGAATTATCCCATTGTTGATGTTTAATACTGAATTTTGATTAGCCTTTATTGATATATGTACATCCGGACTAGATCACCTTGATATAGCCACTTTGTCACAAATTAGATTGAATAGATAGTTTGTACCTAGCAACGGAATATAGAACACACGTTTCGTGTTATTAGGGATGAGTTAGTTAAATACAAAATTATATATGAGAAGTGGTTTTTCATAACGACTTGACATTAGTTGGAGAACCATCAAAATCCACAAAATACTAAATATTTGTTCTATCATAGTTTTGGATTGTTCTAACAGTTCTTACTTGCTGACTTTCAGATAGAATCCTTGCTGAATTTCATTGATTATTTACCTTAAATCAATTCGTAAAGAAAACTGTTTCAAAATTCTTCTAGATTCATCTATATTTTTATGGAATGAACCACATTTTGTCGGAGACAACATTTTACAGGATAATAACGATATTCGATTATTAAATAGAACCTAATTATCATATTTTTTTATTTTTAATCTATTTCCGATGATATGCAAACTTTATACTGAATGTCCAACTATCAGTTAAAGTGTGAATATAAAACTATTGAATATTTTATTACAATAATGTGTTATATATATATATATATATATATATATATATATATATATATATATATATATATATATATATATATATATATATATATATCGTAATCACTGATTACATTAATCGTTAACGCAGTAGTTTGGTTTCTACTTCTCTTTGTTCCTATCTGAATCACTGTTGGCTCCAACAAGGAGTAAATCATGATGACTGAAATCTGTTTTGTTTTATCGTCTCTTGAAGATAATTTTTTAAGTCAAATGTATAGCAGTACCCTTATTTCTAGTTCATTATATCCTCACCATCATTGTCCTTCCTAGTTCGCGAATTCATTCATTCAATCAACTTCGGAGTATTTTATTCTCCTACCCTATTTGACATTTTAATGATCAGAAGACTTAAACTAACTAACACTGTCAATCAACTTCGATTACTTGATATCAAAAATGAAACTTCTCTTGGCCAGTTTCAATAAACATTTATGTCGATTTATACTAATAAAATTGAAGCATTTATTTAGTCAAATTTAACAATCACAATTCATATTCATCACATATATTAAGTATTATTAAAATGGGTGTTTGCAGAGATTGTAGTAATTTTAATAGTTGAATTCATGAGTCGATCTAAATTAGACCAACATTGAAAGCATTAGACGGACATTTTGTCCTAGTATGAGACTCCTCGGCAGTGAACATCTACAACCCCACATGCGGGACCCAAATCTGAGACCCTTGGTCTCGCGGGCAAACACATAACCTCTAGACCACTGAGCCGACATCCAATGGTGTTAATGTCTAACGTCAACCAATCCATGATCTTGCGCAACCATTCATCCATTGTCTATTGGATGCGCACTGCTGAGGAGTCCCATACTAGGACAAAATGGCCGTCTATTGCTCCCAGGTTTTCAATGTTGGTGTAGCTTAGATCGACTCATGAATCCAACTATTAATGTATTAAGTAGTTTGATGAATATTTCTTACGTATGTCATAATTGTATTGCCTTATAGATATTTTGTTGAACAAAATTCTTTATTAACCAGAAATAAATGTCTAATTTTATTCATTGCACAACTTTCTGAAGTGAATTCGTTTGGTAGATTATGATATTTATAAGATTACATTGATTGGACTTGACTGAAATTTTTACTTATGGGTAGGTTCCGTTTTTACTATTTCTATGCATAAATAGTAATTATAGATGGTGAGTAAATGTAATGTATAGGAATGATAAGTGATAAATCATTGTAACAGTCTTGATCACTATCATTAACGATTTATTTAGCCGTTGAGTAGCAGTTTTAAAATGTAATACTTTTACTTCATTTTAGACCACCAACTAGTACCATTAACACACACTCAAATCTGCATAAAACCAAATGCATCAACTTGTAATTGGTCACTGTGTTGCGAATAATATAGGCGGCCCATCAGATACTTCAGTTTCAATATTTCTAGATAATTGGTTAAATTTTGTCCGTTGATAGTAGCAATGATAATAACAATAATAATAAATTTTTTAACAATAATTACCTGCCACTATTATCAGTAAATGTCTACAATTAGTCTTCTTGCCATAACGCCTCCTTTTATCATCTAGCATATTTGATGCATGAATTACATAGTAATCACTTCTTGTTTCTCCAAAGGATAGTCTGTAAATATTTTCCGAAAGTAAGTACACATAGGGTTAAGAATATAGATGACTTCTAATAGACATTATTAACTTGAACAAGTAGTCAAACCATGTAGTATTATAAGACAAGTGAAATAAATACGTTATGTAAGACATTGAAATAATCAAGTTAAAACCACAAAATATTTAAGTTTATATGGCCTTAATCTATTATATTTCATGATACTAACAATGAATTTTGATTTGTATGTATCTGATATCTGTTGGTAGAACATTTTAGATAAAGATGTTATATAATCAAGAAGAATTTACTAATAAACTAACCACTAAGATGGTTCTTCCTGAATTCCTCGGCAGTTAGATAGCTTGTAAATATTTTTTGTAGGTTTGTAAGTACACACGCTTATCGTACATAGTTAGTCATTTGAAACAAACGTAAAAACAGACAAAGTATATGGTTGTAAATGCACATTTGTTAAATATAGCAACTCAAAGGCATGAGTAGGTCACCATTAATAGGATCCCGTTTGTAAACCATAAAAATCACCAACAACTGATCGAATAATTCACAGCATGTCTATAGATTTACACCATTACATCTATCTATGGTAAACAAATGAAAATTGCCTCAAATTTTTTTAGTTATCTAAAAGATTTATATAACCTAGATTTTGGACATCTATTTCTTCTAGGTGCATTTGACCAATGTGACATTTCACCGTTTAGTCTTCAATGACATAAATATATGTATATATATTTCAGGTCATATTCAGTTCTAATTTTTTCTCATTGCTAACTATAGTACTCATAAATACCTGATAATCTACTATTGTGCTTACTACAATATTATTCTGCACACTTTTGAGTGTGTTTGCGCTTATGCACACATACAAGTAAATCCATACTCTTACCTTTAGGTCTAGTGTGTACACATAGAAAATGATACAGGTAAGATGAAGAATACGCAAATGTGAAGGAAAGGTAAACTTTAAAAGGTATGCAAACATGTTACGATGCTTATTCTGTTCATTTAAGTTTTGTTTAGACATATATATATATATATATATACTCTATAAAAACCATTTGAGCATATGCAAATTACAAATTGATTGTAAACCGTGACATTCCATTTGTGCGCCATATGTATGCGCAGTCATCATTGCATTGAACAGTTATAAATCATTTATTGTGTTCAAGGATCTTACATGTGTACTACTGGAAAGTGTTTTACTTAACTGGTTGATTTAAATCTTATCTCAGTTCTATCATTCAAAAGAGTAATTATTCAAATTGCTAGAATTTAGTATTGCCCTGATCGTTATTATTATTATTCTCACTATCTCAAACGTGGACAACCATACGAGTATATATATAAAGAGGAAAACATGGTCGCTCAAGAATTTATCAATTTCTTCTCCAGTTTACAACTCCCTGCTTCAACTGGTATTGAAGATTTTGGTGATCGTTTAAATTTTTTCACTACCATCCTATTTCTAATCGCTACCTTAGTTGTTACAGCGAAACAATATGTTTTAGGTGCTATGTCATGTTATGTATCTGTTTCACCATCAGGTACAGGGTTTGATACATTTCTAGTTAATTACTGTTGGGTTCATGGAACTATTCCATTGAGAAGTAATGAACCTTTGCCCGAGACAGATGCTCAATGGAAAGAATATGATATACATAGAAGGATCAGTGAGTCACATCTATTTGTTAGAGCTTATCTATTTTATTCATAATTGGTTTAAGCTGTTACTCACAGAAAATTGACTCAACTGATATATTTTTTGCTGATCAGAACATGAATAACAAAAGTTGTTATAATGAATAAGATTTAATCATTCTATTTCATAGTTAGTCATCATCAGCTACGAATGGATTAAATTTATAACAAATAATATGATAATGAAGTTAGAAATACTTTGGCTTCTTTTCTATCAGTCGATTAACTTTCTCTTAATAAGTGAATTTTACACAGATTCTGTCTTTAACCAAAGTAATCCTCAACTTTTGTCATGAGTATAATTATTTTTTATCTCACCTCTCTAATGTTAGCATAGTTAGATCTTCCACATACAAATATTGTATCACTCTTATCTAAAACGAATTAATGTCATTTTTTTCTATCTAATTCTCCTGATACACCGTCTTATTTCAATTTCATTAACTAACGTATCAGTTGACAAGTATTCAGTTAGACATATAAACCATTGTATTCTGACTCATTAATGTGAAGATTAATCACCCACTATGAGCCCTGAAGGTTCTGAGTTCGATGCCCAATTGGATCGATAATGTGTACTGATGGGAAGTTCCATACTGGGATGAAACAGATTTCTGGTGCTTTCTGGTTTTCAGCGATTATCCAAATAAGTTTAGTCCATGATATCAACTATAAAATTATTTTTTTGAAAACCTGAAGATTTCTTGGATATCAAACTCCTCATTACTTATTATCAATGTTTAATTAACATACCTCTTAAATAAAGTTAGTTTATCAACTGTTAGGTTTTTGAAGCATCAAAAGGAAGTTAACTAGTAGTAATCCAGTGAGAACTCCAGTACTGTCTCATCTCTCAATCGATATGCCTTATTAATAGTACATCTCAACGTAGCTTCTTCAAACGAACAGTAAGAATCTCAACATTTATTTCGTAGGTATCAAGTGGTAATTTGGATGTTATGTTGAACTTCAGTAACACGATATACGTACAGAAAGACGGTATGACAATCGTGATTCTCATCGAGTTCACTACTAGTTGAATTCTTCATGGAATTCATCAGAAATAGCAATCTTGAATTCGATAATTGATTAGCTAACTAAATTGTGTCAAACTTATATTTTTGACGGAATCACTCACTATAAATTCAAACTGTTTCCAGTTTATAAAAAGCTTGGAAATAGAATGATGAGTTCTTGTATACTCTCTGAATTTTCTTATCCTTGTTTTATTCAAAAGGAAGTCATATACATTTCTTAAGAATTTTACCTAGACAACAGTTGATTACTTCATTATTCATTTATTAAATTTATTCCTTTCAAGTTCGTCTTAATGGATTCTAAACTTTGATAAATTCACTAAGAAACTACTGTTTCGTTTTAAAAGCTTGTAAGAAGTTTGAATAATCTTGAAACAGTCCTTTTGATTCTATAAGCGAAGATGGTTAGTGGCTAGCAGTGGAATCGAGAACGCGCGTTTCATCCTATTTGGGACTCATCAGATGGATTTACCTACATCTCAGAGTTGATGTTCACTCTGGGACA